GTCATTAGAGTGGAATCTTTAATGTGACCAGTGTTTTTATACAAGGAAAAAGATAGATGACAAGCTACTCAGAGGGGAGGCCAAATAAACACAGGGGTATAGGACCACGAACATGGTCAAGAGAGAGGTCCCAGAACATGCTACCTCTGCCAACTCCCAGACTCCAGAAATATGATAAAATACATCTGGTTGGTTAAATTATCCACTCTATGATAGCTCCTTTCTGCAGCCCTACAGGAACCAACAGTGGTGATTTCTATCTCCTCCTTTGTTGCTCTGTATAGTCTCTCATTTCTCCATTGTTTCTTACCTGCTCTGCTGTTTCGATGATCTAGAGAGAAGTACACTTTGATGTCTCTAATGAAGCACCAGTTTGACTCATTGGGAATTTTTCCATGAGTGCATTAGTGTATATTGGAAGAAAGAGAAGCATGGTGACTTTGAGAAATTATGGGCAACAAACAGTTTAAGGGTGGGGTTTACTTGGTGCTATGAACACATCCTGCAAAGAGACCACTAACTTCTGTAATGATGATGTAGAGAAGACTATCCCATTGCTACTTGGGCAATGACAGATGCTGGGCTCAGTTTGAAATATATCGCTTGCCATAGTTTATTCAAATATGGCTCATTTCCTATAACTAAGGAGTAGAGTGTCAGATAATAACATAAAATGACCCATTTGCCATCCATTTTCAGGCCTGCCATAAGCTGTCTGAAACCCCATTGTATCCTATCACCTTTGGCTTCCTTAAAACCCATACTCTCAATGTGGGTGTTTGCTATTTGCCTCATTGTTCTTTGTCCACTGTCCCCAAACCAAACACATCACACAGCTGCAGGTTCTTTTCTTTTTTTGTTAATTTATTTATTTATTAAGGATTTCTGCCTCCTCCCCGCCACCACCTCCCATTTCCCTCCCCCTCCCCCGATCAAGTCCACCTCCCTCATCTGCTCAAAGATGAAGGTTAATATTCAGGAGGATGCCTTCAACTAAGACACCACACATATGCTCCCTGAGTTCCCTGCTGCCCATGTAGGTTTCACTGCACCCACATCCCCTCTGGACCTGAGCCTAAGTCATTCCTTTGGTCTCTTATGTTTTGGTTTTAGTTCCTTGCTGTATCTCACAGTATGCACACACACACACATGCATGCACACACACATGAGGACACACACACACACACACACACACACACACACACACATTATTTTGGCTTAGGGAGCCCCTCAAGACAAACTGGAAAGGTAAGATTGCTCAATGGATAAAGGTATTTGCTGCCAAGTCTGAAAACCTGCGTTCAATTCCTGCTTAGACCCTCATGGTAGAAAGAGACAACTGACTCCTACAAGGTGTTCTCTGACCTCTGTGCACAGGTGTGTATGTGCGTGTGTAAATCCTATTCATGAGAACGGTGGTGTCTCTGACTCCTTTGCCTGCTCTTGGGACCTTTATCCTCCTACTGTGTTACCTTGTCCAGCCTTGACATGAAGATTTGTGTCTAGTCTTATTGCATCTTGTTAAGCAATGTTTGATTGATAACCCTGAAAGGCCTGAACTTTTTTGAAGGGAAATGGAGGAGTAGTAGGTATGGGGGAGAGAGAAGATGGTGAGGGAGGAGAGGAGGCTGTGTGTGGTCAGAATGTATTTTATGAGAGAAGAATAAATAAAAAGAACGTAAAGAAAAAAAAAGCAATGGTGTCTGTTTGAAAACAAGACAAAACAAACAAGTCTCTAAGTTATTCCTACAGCAAATACCATAACTTTGATCCTATGCTAAAGGCCAGATCTTGAAGATAGTCTAAGGCAATGGTTCTCAACTTTCCTAATGCTGTGACCCTTTAATATTTAATATAGTTCTTCATGTTGTGTAACCCCCAACCATAAAATTATCTCATCCCTACTTCATATCTGTGATTTTACTACTGTTATGAATCATAATGTCAATATCTGATACGCAACCCCTATAAAAGGGTAGTTCAGCCCCAAAGGGGTCATGACCCACAGGTCTAAGAAAAGACACTTGACTCCTCTCCCATTGGCTATCAGGCTGTCTTATTTATTTATTTATTTATTTATTCATTCATTCTTTCAAAATGAGTATGCTAAACAGACGTACAGGAGTTGGAACTCAAAGTTGACATCCAAAGAAAAAATAGAAAGGATGCCCACTATGGATTCAAGGTATGGACCGAGGGACAAAGAACTCTGGCAGGTCCAGAGCAGTGGGGAGTCTCACATCCCACAGAATTCTTGTTCTGTTCTGATTAATTTTCTTACAAAAGTAAGGGACATTTACGACCCCATTTTCTTTAGCATAGAATAGAGGGAACAGAGGTAACCTGGTACCCAAGACCCCTTCCCACAGAGAAGGACTGAATAGCCTGCTTCACAGTTAAACGGCCACAGTTTCAGCCTCTGTGTCATGGCTTTCTGTAAGTGTCAGACAGCCCCAGGCACAAAGAGAAGGAAAATTGCACGTTTTTACTCCCACTCCAGGCCATATTGGTGCATCTATGAACAAATCCATCTTTCTTTGCCAATTTTTGTTTTGTAATTTAACTGGAATGCAGAAAAGATGACAATAGCCCTTGGGACCTAAGTTTCTGGACAACAGAGGCTTTGACTACAGCTTGTCTGCAGTGCGTTCTTTTCCACTTTAACTTGCACTGATGCTGCTGCCTTTGGTCTCAGATTTCTGGTTGTGGACTTTATAAACTTGAGCTCAAAGTATCCCCAAACAAAGAAGCATGTTTACACATAAGAAAAATGACTTTTGTGAACTATTTTAACTATCTTTGTATTGGGAAAACTAAACCCCTAGTTAGAGATAATCTGGGGAAATAGATATATCTATTTTTATATGCCAAGTCAGAAAAAGTAATTTTCTAATCAAAGATGATATGGTTATGAATTAAGCATAAATTCAGATTAAAGACTGATAATATATACCATTTCTATTAGTAGTCACATATTCTATTAGACATAGCCTTAATTTCACATTTCGAACAGGATTTACAAATGTCTGATATTCTCAATATTTATAAATATGCTAGCATTGTTGGAGATTTTGACATTTAGCTTGAATTGTATTTACTATTATAATTATGTGGGGGAATAATTTCATAAGCATAGTGTGCTTTGAAACATTTATGTGAAACTGAGAATGATTTTGTTATTATTTTACTTGTGCAAGCACTGAGATGAGTTTTTGGATTCATCTAAAGCAGTAATGCTTCAAACGATAGTTTATTTGCATAATTACAAAGAAACTTTAGACCCCAAAACTTTAGGCTGTCTTACTTTTTAAAGTTTGCAGTGGGATATCTGTGCCCTATATTTTTGTAAATATCTTCAGGCTGATAAGACATGAAAATGAGTATGATATCAGTATTTCTAAACATCTTGAAGAGTCTAAAAGCTCATAAACTGATATTGACCAGGCATGAGAAAATTTATATTACACAGACCATAAAAGTTACAATTTCTCCCAATGGACAGTTCCTTTTAAAAATAATCAGAAACACAAGCACCAATGAGCTCACCCAAGTTCTAGAGGAAATTTGGAGAACCCACAGAAAGAGAAGATTGAAACAGAAAGGAAACTACCAGGCTACAGAGAGAAGCATTTATTAAACTGATCTCAACCCAGCAACCGCTTATTAAATAGCAATTAGTGCCTAACACTATAAAGTATTGAGATACTGAAACATATAAATATAAAGAAAGGAGGGAGAAAGGAGAAGAAAAGGGGGGATATCAGTGCCACAACAAGCTTCTATCACAGGGGAGTCTGAGGAATTTACATTATATTTCAGTAAAGAGAATTCTTTCCAGGCCTTAGTTGGTTTTTTAAAGCAGATTTGTCGCTTAATTATAAGATTAGAGAAAGGACTGAAGAACTTGGTCCATCCACATAGAGCATCAGCAAAGAGTTGACACTATCTTTTCACTTTATTTTTAACCACTGCTTGACCCAGCTAACCCAAGTCCTCTTGGAACTGTGGGTGGAGCCTGCTCTTTCTCACTTGGCTGTGGAAGATTGCTTGAGAGGAGTATACACAACACCCTTTATTAGTTCCTTCCTACCAACCAGATTTACTACTCATTGCATGAAAAACCACTTGTAATGGATCTAGAAACCAAAAAAAAAAAAAAAAAAAAAAAAAAAAAAAATGAAAGGGGGTGGGGTGGGGAAAGCCAGCTTCCAAATGTTTACTATGAATGCCCACAGGAGCTTGAAATTTCCTACAATCAATGCTTTAGCATGGCTAAGGAAAGCACTCTGGGCCCCATGACCATAAAAGCAACAAGGCATTAAACAAGCCTCAGCCTTAACAGGCTGTGAGAGGGAGGACAGGCAAATATTCAAATTACCTCAGCCCAACTAATGGTACAATCAGTCTGAAATCCATTACTCAAGGTTCTTTAGTACCCCTAGGCCTCGTCTACATTCTGAAAAGAAGTATGAAGAAAGGTGAGTGACGGCCATTCTCAGACTGGTTAGAAAGGACCATATAGTCACTGCAGCTCAAAGAGAAAAATTGGGTAAAATGAGGAGGAAATACAAGAAAGTCTGAATTCTGACTACAAATACTAATGGGCTTCCTACCATTTTCAACAAAGGAGCTTAACATGGTTGCTGTCTGAATGCAGTCTGGAAAAGTCTTGCAAGGTGAGGGAGAACTGGATTGTGCAATATGGGCTTGGAGGAATGCCCTTTAGGGATCATTTGGTCCAACCCTCAGTTGATGTGAGGAACTGAGTCAAGACATATGATGACTTGCCTCACACAATGCAATGACCTCATGGGGTGGGGTAAGTTTAGGGCCTGCTCACCTCTTGTTGCTCTTGGAAACTGTGCCATATGCTTCCGGGCTAACCATACACACTGACATTACAGTCAGAATAGCTCTGGGGAGAGCAAATGAAACAACAGGCCAAGGGAGCTCAGCAGCTTCCACCCTTGATCCCAAAGGAACACATGGCTTTACTCACCAACAGGGAAGAACTCGCTCATTTTCTTCTTATAGATTTTGAAGTCAACTTCTAGGAAGACACAGAAGATGATTCGGTCCACCTGGAGGCAAACAATAAACTCTTGAAGTCGAAGGAAATACGGCAGGTGTTTACTCAAAGCACAGTGTTAGAACTGAAGAGTCCAAGAATAAAAATACAGAAATAAAGAAACACAAAGTTGTAAGTCGAGGAGAATGAGAGCAGGTTGTCAGCAGCTTTCTTGGCAGCTTACCAACTAACTGTTCACAGTGGGTTACTTTGCTTTACAACCCATAGCTCTGTCTGTAAGGCTGAAGTGGCTCTCTGCAAACTGAGGTTCAGCTTTCAGATATTTTAGATAACCTGCCTCCCCCCAGCCACTCCTGACCAGCAATTGATGTGAACTGAGTTAACTTTTAAATGATGGGATATACCTGACTTTTTGGTTGTGCATTTTCCCATACCCTTCTCGTACATGAAACCGGCTATGTTAGGGGAGTGCAGAGCTTTGGTGGACACCATCGGAAAGTGCCGGAGAGAAACAATAAACTAAATACAAACACTAGTTTAATTTAAAAAAACTCTGTTAATGAGAATTGCAAAGAAGGACAATTTGTATCTGAGTTTTACCTCAAAATTATCAAATTTCCTTTGTTATTGCCTAAAACTTGATGTTTCTGTTATAAAAGGGGGGAGTTCAGAAACTGTAATCTGCCACAACCTTACAAGTCCATCTCTGGCTGTGGCCTCAGCTAGCTGATAAGTTTTATGTGCACCATGGAGATTTTTTTTTAATTTTTAACTTTTTTCCTGAAATAAATTTTCCTTCTGGTTTAATAGACTTTGGTGGTCTGTCCCCCATCTATGCGTGACCCCCTTGAACCCAACAAGAATAGATAAAGATTATTATGAAAGCTTAATACAGATATTTCATGGTGGAGTATGAACTGTATCAGATGATGTGTAAGGGTGTGTGTGTGTGTGTGTGGACACTTGAGTTATGTGTGAGCATTCACTTGATTGTGCATGCTCTGTTTATAAAGAAGTCAAGGGTACTTTCAGGGGAGAGATGCTACATAAAGAAGAAATAACAAATGATGGTAAGCCACGTTGCAGCAAGTTCTAACTAATGCTGAGATTCTGACAGGGGTACCTGGACCTTATGGTCTCTAAAACAGCCACAGGAGAGGCAGACTGATGAGTGTCAATGAAGCATACCAGTAAACCAAGTACTCTTTTTACTGATCTTGTTAGACAAATATAGTCCTCAAACCCGTTATCTTTGAATGTGGCCTAAAAAGTTTCCATGAGTTCAATTTACATGAAGTCACTTGCTTCTAGCCAAACATATTCAAAATGGCTGCAGAAATTAAATGCTAGTCAATAGTAACACAGGGTCTGTGAACACTTAATTTGGTGGATATTGTTAGGTAACAGTCACCTCAGAAGAAAAATGTGTGCATCATCTCCTATGTTTTCTAGTTTGAGAGAGTGTCAGCACAGATGGGCTTGAAATATTCAAGAATAATGTGTCAATGAGAAAGAAGAAATGGACTACACACAGTAGCATAATGTAGGTGGGTCTTCTTTCTATGTGTTGCTTTCATTGGTTAATTAATAAAGAAACTGCTTGGCCTGATAGGTCAGAACAAAGGTGGGTGGCGTAGACAGAACAGAATGCTGGGAAGAAGGGCAGTGAGGCAGTTGACATACCTCTCCTCTCTGAGACAGATACAGGTTAAGATCTTTCCCGGTAAGCTACCACCTCATGGTGCTACACAGATTACTAAATATGAGTTAAAGTAAGATGTGAGAATTAGCCAATAAGAGGCTGAAACTAATGGGCCAGGCAGTGTTTAAAAGAATACAATCTGTGTGTTGTTATTTCAGGGCATAAGCTAGCCAGGCGGCCGGGAGCCAGGCGGCAGGAATGCAGCCTTCCACTCCTTCTACAGTAGCTCACCCGTGTCTCATATTAACTGGGAACTCAATTTTGTGTCGGGAACTTGGATACTTCTTCATTTCCTTTCTTCAACAATGAGAAATAAAGTTTAGAAACAGTCTGTCAAAGCACAATGGACAATTGAATAAGACATCAAAGCATTTATTGTGGAAGTGGGGGGTAGATGTGGGATGGGCATGAAACAGGACAAGAAAGAACCTAAATGGATGTCACCCACCTAACCATTCCACTCTTCCACCATGTGGGATGCAGATTCTGCCACTCTGATAAGAGTTTTCATTCAGCAACAAAGATGTTCTGGTGTGAGAGATAGCAGGGGGTCACATGGAGCTGTGAAATCATGTGACATGAGCAAGTCCAGAGGCATCACTCCCTAATCTTTTCATGAGTCTCTGCCTCAACAAGGCTGGACCGCCTTCTGGCCAGTCACTGGAATTCCATTCCATAAAGAACAAGCTACCTTCTGATTGCCTCATTGATTCCCGCACAAAGCAAACAAAGGAACCTGGCCTTAAAAATAGTAAGACAGGGTTCAAATGGGTAGATTTCTTTTTTCCTATTTTCACTTTTGAGTAGGATGTCCAGTCCTACTTCTATATCATTAACACTGCCTATATACACCAAAAGTACAGGCTCCCTATCAAATCATTTTCCAGGTGAACTATAATTTTAGATAAAAGCCAGTGTTTAAGTCTGTTCATGCACATACTCCTTATGAAATGTTTACATCCAGTGGCAAAGCCAAAAACCATGTTGAATGACAAAAAATGTGTCGTCAAAGGGCAGTTTGTATAAAACCTTTTCTACATCATTTTAAAAAACATAAAGTTACAACAATATAGGGATCCATCTATGAGTAATAGTAAAATAATGAAGGGCAAGGACATTGGGCTAAGTGGTCCTGTGTTCTCTTATGAGCAACCCAAAGACGCACAGAAAAAAAGAAACTTGAACTCAACTAATCATAATCTGCCACCTGTCACCTAGCTCAGTTCTTCAGTGCAACAATTTGATAAGGCAGCAGCTCCACTATGGAGCAAACATCATTTTTCATTGCATCCATGTCTACCCTACAAAAGCCTCCTTATGCTCTCTGAATGGTGTTCCACAGTGCAGGCTGTCTGCCCAACCTGTGAAATGCTGCTGTTGTTCAGAACACCTCAGTTCTTAGTGCATTGTGTTTTTCTGTCATGTCTTCTAACATATGGTTTAAAGATGGCTGTGATTTCTGCAAAGGGAGGGGATTTGAGTCATTAACACGTTAGTTATTAGAAAGTAAAGAGATTTGAGACAACATGACACATAGCTAGCAGCCATTAACTGTGGGAGGAAGTATATGAATAAACTATTTTCTCTATTTTTTCCATGTTTGGAAAACTTCACAATTAAAGACTCTAAAGTTGATAAGATTATCTTGTGTTCCCTGAGCCAGACTCAGTTTTCTAGCTCTGCAGAAGCACTTGGAGCTTCCAGAGCCCATAATTATTCTTGTGTACCTCTGAGTGTTGATTATTTTTCCTTTATGCTTCTAAATCATCTAGCTGTGACCAGAAGTCAAAACCAAGAAATTTTGATTTACTAAAAACTGAAGGTGATTGAGTTAAACAATTTTGTGTCCTCTCACATTTATACTTAAGAACAACAAATCACATAATTTTTTAATCATTATGTCTCTTATGTGTGTGTGTGCAAACGAGTGTGAATGAGTGTGTGTATTCTCATGGTGGGGGCTCTTTAAGTAGCAACACTATTTTCTGCTACCAACTTCAAATACCACCAAATTCACCAAGATTATCTAAATATTTCAAGGGATCATAATCTACTTCTAGATAGTAGGCTGATGACCATGGGAATGATATGGGCCCAAAATTCAACAGCCCAGTTAATTTTCCCCAGGGGAAAAATGGATGCTGAAGTTTGAAAATTTTAATTTTAAAATAGTTGGATTCTCTAGTTAACTGTCCTGACTTACAGGCCTAGCAGTGTGAAAAGCAGTCTGCCAGCAAATTGAAGCCAAACGTTGCCTTCATTCATTATATACTGATTGCATATTTGTATTCCCTTGTGCACATGTATTTTCTAGGGCACTATTGCATAAAGCTCCACTTGAAAAGTCTATTTTTAAAGTCCTTCAAGTTCTGATACTTCCTCATCCCATGGTTCTCTTTATAGTACAATAAAGATGATGGTACTCCTCTTGCTGAGGGGTGGGATCTAAACTCCCATTTCTTAAGTCTGGGAGGCCTGTGGCCATGAAGGATTGATGTTAAGTGACTTATAAGTAAGAGAATGCAGATCTCGTCTAGTACTCTTGAGAGGACACTTCCTATATACAAACTTTATAACTTGTACAAGTAGCAAGAACATGTGGAGAACCCACATGCAGCTATTTTGGCAACAGCTCCAGCTGGAAGGGGGTGGCCTTTCCATGATTTCAGCTCCAGGCGTTTGAGCCACCCAGCAGATGTACAGGGAGCAGAGAAGAGGTACTCCAGCTAGACACTCACTGCAAATTCATAATCAAAGACATGGAAACATGTAATGACAGACTTGACATCTTCCCGACTAATCCTGGTACCCTTTTTGAGTCTTGCTTTTACAGCTCTTTGGTACTTTACACCTGTCGAGAAGCTCAGATTGAACGGACCACACTGATAGAAACCACCTTTGTGGGAGAAGACAGACACGGGACATTTAATTGTTACATGGCCGAGAGACTGGGAATCTGTCTCGCATGGAGGAGGAAAGTCTGGCGTATTTCTTTATAACCCTGGATGACTTCTAAGAGAACCTTTGACAGCTCAGAATGGTACCACTTATTTTTTTCATAAAGCCATTGGATAATTTCACAAAATGATGGTTTTTGAGAAACCATTCATTCACCTATTATCGAGTTGCCTTCAGTTCACGGGGCATAGCCCACATACCATGCCATGTTTATGAAAACAAAAGCCCAGCAATTGAGTGGCCTTTTTGTAGTACCAGAAAATTAATTAATGATATAACTTGACTCGAAATACCAAATTTTGCTCTTTGATATTACCCGGAAGGAGACCTATGCCATTGAATTTCTAGGCCTGCCCCTAGATATAGGACAGTGGATGTGTCCTCCATTTTCA